GAGAGTCTATCTATCCCCCCATATATTGAGGGCTGGTAAAAATCCAACCCATCTAAAACCCACCTAGAGAAGTGAAGATGTCAGGAGTAGCTGGCTACAGACTCCTTTTTCTCATGCTCAACTTCTTCTAAACATTAAAGAAAAGATAAAATTGGAGAAGTGCTACTGTCCCTGGGAACAGTTATGGGGGGTATATGAAAAGAATAATGGTGAAAAACCACTATCAGTGGAGGACTGATAGATGGGAAATCCTCCATTGGTGGCTCTAGACTCATAGGGTGTCTGTGTTAGAGGGGTTGGATTATAAGATTTTAGTAGTAAGGCAGTCTCCATGCTGCATAGGTTGTAAAGTATTCCAGCAAGAGTTACGATTTGAGAGTCATTGCACATGGTCTGTAGTAATGACACCTAAAATTAACCTTCAACTAACTCTCAGCATGCCTGCAGAAATAGTGTTTCTATGGAAGAATTGCTAGCAATCAGTCAAGCAATTGCTAAACTTTGCTACATTTTCAATCTACACAGAATTGGGATGATTTGTCTTCAATATGATGATAAAGTGTACCTACACTATACTGTTATACCAGTTTGATACTGTAGGATGTCCATGGATTCATCCTATGGAATCTTGGAGATTTAAGTTTGGTGAGGAACCTGGAATTTGCTGGTTCTATTGTAAATACACTCACAGATAAAGGTTCTGGTATTAGGTTCTAGGTGACAGCTGTTGAAATGAAATAGTCTAAAGAACAAATCTGATGTGACATAATCCTACAATTAAGAATTGCTTGAATGGATTTTAAAGAGTAAAGAGCAAGTGCCTCTTCCAGGCTCTGGAATGTCATGCCAAGGGGGATAGGCTCATTCTATCTTCCTTGTTTTTTCAGCAAGCAGGCAAAGTCATTATTGCTTACACAGGCTTTTGCATTTCAGGATGAAATTGTTCTCAGATAAGTTTTAATTTGATGGGTGCTGTTTGTTCCTTTCATAACAAAAAATATGTGTTTTAATAGAGGCTTTTACCTGTTGTGATTTTTATGAATAATTTGTTTATACTGTTGTATTTGTATTTCATTATTAATTTCCTATTTTTAACATTAAGGCAGGTCAAGAAATAATACCTTAATAAATAAAAGTAGAGGGCAAAGTGTGAGAGCCAGTGTGGTACAGTGGTTTGAACACTGGACTATAGCTTAGCAGATCAGGGTTCAAATACCTGCTCAGCCATGGAAACTCAGGGGGAATGCAGACTGCCACTTTAGGCCAACCTGGGGGTGGAGTTGGGGTGGGGCAACCACATGCCAGCCACCCCAACTCCACTCCAATGTCACGTGCCTGACCACATGGCGCACGACATCAGGGCACCCTCTTGGTGGAGTGTGCAGACATGTTGTGCCAAAGGGGTGCAAAAGAGCCATGGAAGCAGCTCTAAGGGCAGCTTTTTGCTGTTCCAAAAGGAGCTGCATTTGCCCACTTCTTTAGGGACAGCAAAAAGGAGAATTGGGGCCATGGTGCGTGATTGCAGTGGCCTTGATCCACCACTTCCAGGGGCGGCACAGAGCCGCCCCTTATAGCCCATCTGCATCGGCCCTCACTGAGTGATCTTGGGCAAGTCACACTCCCAGTCTCAGAGAAGGCAGTGGCAAATCGTCATTGAATAAATTTTGCCAAGAAGTCACCCTTGCCATAAATTGGCAATAATCGTATAAATTGGGATTATTGCCATGAATTGGAAATAATCTGAAGGCAAACAGCAACAACAACAGGGGCAAAGTGGATCAGAAGTCTGTAGTGGGGGGATAGGATAGACATAATCCTCAGTTTATTCCACTGGTATTCCCTTTCTCAACTTAATACATGCCAGTTGTGACACAATGACATATAGCTTTACCAGTAACTCCAACAGTGTCATCAGGGGTAGGCAACCTTTCCCCTTTAAAGGCCGAGGGACTTCAGCTCCCAGAAGCCTCAGCCATGTTGGCCAATAGTCCCATGTTGGCCAATAGCTCCTGGGATTCTGGGAGCTGAAGTCCCTCGGCCCTTAAAGGGGGAAGGTTGCCTACCCCTGCTGTAGATACTTCCTAGGAAGGGCAAAAACATTTTATAAAATTCCTTCCCAGTCCCATAAAGTGACCAGCCAAAGCCCTAGGATACTTAAACTACTGAGGAGAATAGAGGGTGCACCATGCTAAGTCAGAAAGAGAAACTGCAGTCTGGAAACAGGCCTGTAGGTCTCATGAAAACAGGTCTCTTGCAAGATATCTCAAATCTCATGGGCTCATCTGAGCTCATGAGATTTAGAATCCCCTCCAGATCTCACAATGACTATAGCTGCAACCATGGCAAGATTTCAGTGTTCGTGTCCTTACTTTACCGAACAGATGTTGATGTCAGTGTACTCACATGTATATGACTTTCTCTATTAGGACAAGAAGAGAAGCACTTGGTGAGCTGAATGCCACTGGCTGTCATTTTGAGGTGCACTCCTGTGTGGTAGTGACTTTAAAAAGACAAAAAGCTGAGCCCTGCTTATTTGGCATTCACAAAGTTGTCACTGTAATGAACAGTGTGTCAAAGCTTCAAGTACAAATCAATGTGAATCATACCTCCTAAGGTCTCCCTTCTGGTTTTATCTCTGCAGTGAAGTCAGTGTTGCAAGAGCACCAAAAGAGACTTGAGTGTGGCATGTAACATAGTTTGTATGTAAAAGCAAAGCATTAACCTGTGGCTGGATGATCTCTTGGAAAACTGCTAGGAAGCAGCACTTTTGATGCTTCCCATTTCATCTTCATGGTTTATTTCCCCTGGCTTTGTTTTGGCTAATCTCAGCTTCAGAAGATAGTATGAGTCCAAGGAAATCCTTGTACCCTGATAAATGCTGTGAATTTACTAATAGAGTGAATGGAACAAAGTCCCAATCTGCTTTAGAGATGGGGATATATAAATGGTCTGACCCATGACCCAGAATCTAAGTAGGTAGAACCCTATTAATCTTATAGCTTTTTCTTTCAAGCATTCATATATAGAACATCTCAAGGACCACAGAATTATTTCTAGGATGAGGGAGCTCAAGATTGGTAAGCATTTCATTATGAATTTAGCATACAGTATACTGGAAGACAGTATAAACACATAATATATTATGTTAAAATGACAACAGCATCAAATGATGATGATGTACCAGCTGAAGCAGTTAAAAATGTGACTACCATAAAGGCAATGACAAATAATAAAAAAATACAAAATCAATTAAAAGTTAAGATCAATATAAGAAGCAAATGGAGAAATATACAAGTTCCTATTTTGAGAATGCAAAGATGGCCAGGAGGCCTTCTAACATACCCCCATCTCATGCATACTACCCTAAGTGTCAGGGATAGACAGCAGCACC